AGGAGGGGGAAAATCCCCCTACTTTTTTTTTTTTTTTCTTTTTTTTTTTTTTTTTTTTTTTTGCCTTCTCACGAGGAGGAAAAGCGCTTCGGGCAGGGGGAGGAGGAAAAAAAAATCATTGCTCTCGTTTTTCCAAAAGGAAGAGAACTAAATTAAAGTTTCGTTGTTGTTTTGTTTCGTTTCGTTTCGTTTCGTTTCGTTTCGTTTCGTTTTGTTTCGTTTCGTTTCGTTTCGTTTCGTTTTGTTTTGTTTTGTTTTCTCCCTGGAGTTGAAAGTGCAGTTCCTAAGGGGAAGGGGGAAGGCAGAGAAGTCCCTGAGACACGGAAATTGCTCCGGCCGCTCCTTGGGAGTCCAGCCCCTGCGGAGGGGCCATAAATAAAGGGTGGGGACAGCCCGGAGGGTCCCGCGGGGGGCTCGCAGCCCCTCGGGGACACCCCCGGCAGCTCTCGGGGGCTTTCAGGAGGAGCCGGAGCTGGGCGAGGCCTCGGGTGAGGATTGATCCGAGCCCTCGGCCGCTTCCTTGGGCGCCCCGCGGGCAGCGGCCGGGGCCAGCCCTTCCTTCTCCCTCTTCTTCTGCTTCATCCTCCGGTTCTGGAACCAGATCTTCACCTGCGTCTCGTTGAGCTCCAGGGTGGCGGCGATCTCCACCCTGCGGGCCCGCGTCAGGTACTTGTTGAAGTGGAACTCCTTCTCCAGCTCCGTCAGCTGCTTGGTGCTGAAGTTGGTGCGGATGGCGTTGGGCTGCCCCAGGAGCCCCAGCTCCGACGTTTTGCCTGAAAAGACCCAAAAAACACCAGGGCAGGAGCGGCCGGAGGGATCTTCTCTCTGAGGGGTCTCCCCTTCTCGCTCCGCGCTCCCTCCCGGCCCCGCTCGGCCTCGGCCCGGCTCGCATCGCGCTCGGGGCTCTGCTTTTCCCGGAGATCCACCCGGAGATCCCGGAGATCCATCCGGAGATCCATCCGGACATCCATCTCCTCATCCTCCCGGCTGGGTTTTCCCCCGGGATCGATTTCCTGGGTTTTTTGTTGAAGTGGAACTCCTTCTCCAGCTCCGTCAGCTGCTTGGTGCTGAAGTTGGTGCGGATGGCGTTGGGCTGCCCCAGGAGCCCCAGCTCCGACGTTTTGCCTGAAAAGACCCAAAAAACACCAGGGCAGGAGCGGCCGGAGGGATCTTCTCTCTGAGGGGTCTCCCCTTCTCGCTCCGCGCTCCCTCCCGGCCCCGCTCGGCCTCGGCCCGGCTCGCATCGCGCTAGGGGCTCTGCTTTTTCCCGGAGATCCACCCGGAGATCCCGGAGATCCATCCGGAGATCCATCCGGACATCCATCTCCTCATCCTCCCGGCTGGGTTTTCCCCCGGGATCCATTTCCTGGGTTTTCCCCCGGGATCCATCCCCTGGGTTTTACCCCTGGGATCCATTTCCTCATCCTCCCGGCTAGGTTTTCCCCCTGGGATTCATTCCCTGGGTTTTTCCCGGCTGGGCTTTTCCTGGGATCCATCCCCTGGCTTTTCCCCCTGGATCCATCCCCTGGGGTTTTTCCCCCTGGATCCATCCCCTGGGGGTTTTCCCCCTGGGCTTTTCCTGGGATTCATCCCCTGGGTTTTCCCCCTGGATCCATCCCCTGGGGTTTTCCTGGGATCCATCCCCTGGGGTTTTTCCCCTGGGATCCATCCCCTGGGTTTTTTCCCCTGGATCCATCCCCTGGAGTTTTTCCCCTGGATCCATCCCCTCGGGTTTCCTCCCTGGATCCATCCCCTCGGGTTTCCTCCCTGGATCCATCCCCTGGGTTTTTCCCCCGGGATACATCCCCGGACCTGCGGGAAGGGCTGGAAGGGGAGGGAGAGGGTGGTGATGGCGGGGGAGGAGGAGGAAGGCCGGGGTTTAAGGGAAGGTGGTGGGGAAGGAAGTGGAACAATAGAGGAGGGGATGGAAGGCGCGGCTGAGGAAGGAGGAGGAAGCACCGAGCGTTTCCTGCTCCGAGCTGGGCTTAAATCAGCCTCGGGCCTGCGGGAAGCCGAGCTCAGGGACGCTGCTTGGGGTGTGATGGAAAATCTCTGGGTGGGGTTTAAGAAAAAGGCCCCAAAACCCAACCAAACCCAACGCAAACACCAAAAAAAAAAACCCACCCCCAAACCCAAAACAAAGACCCCAAACTCCAACCCAACCCAACCACCAAAAAACCACACCCCAAAACCCAAACCAAGCCAAACCCCCAAAAAAAGCCCCAAACCGCAAACCAACCCAACCCAACCACCACCTGGGGACCTTCCCGTCCATCCACGCACTGCGCTCTCCCCGCTAAAACCGGGTTTAGGGGCTCACCTACTGCATAATCCCTGCTAAAACCGGGTTTAGGGGTTCATGTATTGCACATTCCCCAATAAAACCGGGTTTAGGGGTTCATGTACAGCACATTCCCCAATAAAACCGGGAATTCACTTCGGGATCCTTCCCGTCCATCCACGCACCGCGCTCTCCCCGCTAAAACCGGGTTTAGGGGCTCGTGTACTGCACATTCCCCACTAAAACCGGGTTTAGGGGTTCATGTACTGCACATTCCCTGCTAAAACCGGGTTTAGGGGCTCACACACTGCACATTCCCCAATAAAATCGGGAATTCACTTCAGGAATTCGGTTTTTAGGGGCTCACACACCCCACACTCCTGACTAGACCCGGGTTTTAGGGGCTCACGTACTGCACACTCCCTACCAAAACCGGTTTTAGGGGCTCACACACTGCGCATTCCCGACTAAAACCGGTTTTAGGGGCTCACACACTGCACATTCCCCAATAAAATCGGGAATTCACTTCAGGAATTCGGTTTTTAGGGGCTCACACACTGCACCTTCCCTGCTAAACCCGGGTTTAGGGGCACACACACACTGCACATTCCCGACTAAAACTGGTTTTAGGGGCTCACGTACTGCACCTTCCTTGCTAAACCCGGTTTTAGGGGCTCACGCACTGCACACTCCCTACCAAAACCGGGTTTAAGGGCTCACACACTGCACATTCCCGACTAAAACCGGGTTTAGGGTCTCACGCACTGCACATTCTCTGCTAAACCCGGGTTTAGGGGCACACACACACTGCACCTTCCCTGCTAAACCCGGTTTTAGGGGCTCACACACTGCACCCTGAGCCCGAGCCCTGCGTCCACCTGGGGACCTTCCCGTCCATCCACGCACCGCGCTCTCCCCGCTAAAACCGGGTTTAGGGGCTCGTGTACTGCACATTCCCCACTAAAACCGGGTTTAGGGGTTCATGTACTGCACATTCCCTGCTAAACCCGGGTTTAGGGGCTCACACACTGCACCTTCCTTGCTAAACCCGGGTTTAGGGGCTCACACACTGCACCTTCCTTGCTAAACCCGGGTTTAGGGGCTCACACACTGCACCTTCCTTGCTAAACCCGGGTTTAGGGGCTCACACACTGCACCTTCCCGACTAAACCCGGTTTTAGGGGCACACACACTTGCACCTTCCCTGCTAAACCCGGGTTTAAGGGCTCACCTACCGCACTCTCCCTACCAAACCCATTTTTTTTCGGCCTTCTAACCAACTCCGGGGCACTAATCCCGGCTCTGCCTTCCCCGCGGGGTCCGGCTGAGGAGGAGGAGGGCAGAGCCTGCCTCCAGGCCGGGCCTAGAGAATGGGAACATAGGTAGGCAACATTTATTTACTTGTTGGGGGCCGCGAGACAAGGGCGGCGGACGCCCACAGCCATTTGTTACTTGTCAGGAGATTTACGGCCCGGCCACGCTCCGGGAGCCGCTCCGCGCCCTCTCCTCTCCTCTCCCCGGGCCAAAAGTTCACCCCGAGAGCCAAACCCGGGAGGAAAATCCCCCCTGGCAGCCGCCGCACCTCGGCCGGAACATCTGGCGACAAATTCCAGCCTGGCAGCGATGTTTCCCCTCTCTTTTCGAGCTCGGAATTTGATTTTTTTTTAGCATTTCCAGAGGCAGTTCTTCAGTTTAGGATTTAAAGTTTCCGTCCTTGCGTTTGTTTATTAATTTATTTTCGCTCTGCTGGCCCCGAAATGAAAATGTTGGAGGTTATAAAGGTTCTTAAAACTCTCTCCTTCCTCCTTTGCGTAACTCCAAGTCATTCCCCGGGCAGGAAAAATCGATTTCTATTCCTAATTCTAATTCGATTCCTTTGATATTTCCTTGCGTTCGGGTTCAAATTTGTGGTAGAAAAGAAAAAAAAAAGAGAAAATGCAGAGGTTTATTCCGGCCTGGAACGGATGTTTTGTGATTTCTCGTGGTTTTCCACCGCGATCTCGCTCCTCTGTTGCATTAAAGGGATTTATTTTAGTGAAAATCGCGAAAAATCGCGATTTTTTCAGTTGTGGCGGGGAAACTTTTCCTCTAAGCCAAGTCTAAATTAGAGCTGAGGTGAAAAATCCGATTTTTTTTCTTTTTTTTTTTTTCTTTTTTTTTGCGGATGGGACAGGGCTCCCAAAATTGGAGCCAGAATTGGTGAAATTGTGCAAAATTCAGCCTGAAATGGGGACGGGCAGCAGGACTGGGGTTTAGGGCTGGGATCACTTCGGGAATTCGGGAAAAATCGCTTTTTTTGGGGTTCCTAATGGTCAGATGAGGGATTGAGGGCTGGAATCACGCGGGAAAACTTCGGGAATTTGGGAAAATCGCTTTTTTTTTGGTTCCTAACGCTCAGAGGAGGGATTTAGGGCCGGGAAAACTTCGGGAATTTGGGAAAATCGCTTTTTTTTTTGGGAGAACCCGGGCTGGAGGAAGGGCCCCGTTCCCAACCCCCTCCCAGGACCTCCAGGATGCCCCAAAATCCCATTTTCTGCCCCCAATTCTGCCTTGTGGGGAAGATTTTGGGAAGACCCTGGGGCGGGGGGAACCCTCAGCTCTTGTTCCCAATGGAAACATCTTGATTTTGAAGTGGTTGTTTTAAAATCTTTATTTGAAACCTTGATTGGAAACCTTGATTGGAAATCTGCATTTTAAAAGCATTTGAAACCTTGATTTGAAGCCTTGATTTGAAATCTGCATTTTAAGTCTCGATTTGAACTCTGTATTTTAAATCTCGATTTGAAATCTGCATTTTAAATCTCGATTTGAAATCTACATTTAAAATCTCGATTTGAAATCTGCATTTTTCCATCTCGAACCGGGGAGATTTCTGTCCAGGCCACAGAGCAGGAACGAGGCATTTCCAAAGGCTCAGAGAGTCTCCAGATGCTTCGTTTTTGGGGTCAAATCCAGGTTTTTGGGGGTTAAATGTAACTTTTTGGAGGTTTAGTGTAACTTCTCTGAAGCTAAACGTAATTTTTTGGGGTTAAATAGAACTTTTTGGGGGTTAAAAGTAACTTTTTGGAGGTTAAGTAGAACATTTTGGGGGTTAAAAGTAACTTTTTGGAGGTGAAATAGAACTTTTTGGGGGTTAAATGTGACTTTTTTAGGGAAGCCTCAGTCAGAGATGAGGCGGCGCTGAGGTAAAAAATCCGATATTTTTTATATTTTTTAATTATTTTTTTTAATTGTGGATGAAAAGGTCGGATAGGAAAGGGAGAGAAAAGAGGCGCGGGAGGGATTGAGTGAGTTACAGATCTCGGGTCAGGAGAAAAGGCAGATCCCCAGAAATTCAGATAAATAATAAAATATATTGGAAAAAAAAGCGTGGGTGGAACACGGGAAAATTCCAAATAATGCAGGTAAAATAAAATTAAAATTTAAAAAAGGGAAAAAACCCAGATAATTCAGATAAAATAGGGAAATAAAACAGGGGGAAACCCAGATAATTCAGATAAAATTAAGGAAAAAAAAAGGAAAAAAAAAAAAGCCCAGAAAATCCAGATAAAGCGGAATCATTTGAATAATTTTAGGGATCAGGTTCCTGCTCCCTGGCTCGGGGAGTCCTGTCCCGCTTCCCTGGGAATCCCAGCGGCTTTTCCATGGGCTGGAACACGCCTCGCCTCATTAATTAGGGTCATTTGCATATTCATTACTGCCCCAGAGTGGAGAGGAGGGCTCTGGAGCCGCTGGCCTCGGGCAGGGATTTGGGGCTCCCAAATTCCTGGGGGTTCACTCCCATCCCAAATTCCTTTGGGGTTCATCCAGACCCCAAATCCCTCAAATCCCAAATCCCTGGGGGTTCCTTCCCATCCCAAATTCCTTTGGGGTGCATTCAGACCCCAAATCTAACTGGGGGTCCCAAATCCCTGGGGATCCTTCTGATCCCGAATCCCTGGGGATTCCCACAGATCCCAAATATCAGGGGGTCCCAAATCCCCGGGGATCCCCTCGGATCCCAAATCCCCGAGGATCCCCTCGGATCCCAAATCCCCCGGGGTTCCCTCCGATCCCAAATCCCCGAGGATCCCCTCGGATCCCAAATCCCCGAGGATCCCCGAGGATCCCAAATCCCCCGGGGTTCCCTCGGATCCCAAATACCTGGGTTCCCTCCGATCCCAAATCCCTGGGGGTTCCCTCCGATCCCAAATCCCCGGGGATCCCCTCGGATCCCAAATCCCCGGGGGTTCCCCCGGATCCCAAATCCCCGGGATCCCCTCGGATCCCAAATCCCCGGGGGTTCCCCCGGATCCCAAATCCCCGGGATCCCCTCGGATCCCAAATCCCTGGGGGTTCCCTCCGATCCCAAATCCCCGGGGATCCCCTCGTATCCCAAATCCCCCGATCCCAAATCCAGGCCCTGCCCCCCCTCCAAAGCGCACGGACTCGGTCCCGCCCTGATCAATGGCCGATATCGGCAGCTCGGCTTTATCGATCTCGGGACCCGGGAGACCCAAACCCTTTATTCCCATTCCCCCCCCTCATTTCAGCTCCCAGCGAGGAAACCAAAGCGGGACAAACCCGGGATGTTCCGGGACAAGGCTCCCTCTCCCAGCTCCGCCCTTTGGGGCTGGAGCAGCTCTGGATGAAAAGCTGGAGATGGATGGGAGGGAAAAGGAAGGAGAAATCGACAGGGAAATGAAAGAGAATAAAAAAAGAGAGAAATTCCCAAAAATGCCCTAAAACCTGCAGAATTCCCGGGAAAAAGGAACTCCTCCCTCCCAGGCCCCATTCCCGCTCCGCTTCTCCTCCGGGGAGGATTCCCAGGCTCGATCCCAATCCCCAACCTTCCAGGGGCTCCTGGGCAAACACACCCCCCTCCCGAGCCGCCCAAAATCAATATTTCCTCAGCAGCCCCGCCAACACGCCGCTCATTTGCATACCCCCGGCTTAATTACCGCCAGGCAATCGCCGTGTTTTGCCAACAATCAAGGGCCTGAATATGCTTAATATGCTTAATTCGCTTAATTAATGCCCTCCAGTTGCGCGGAACAGAAGGGCAGGGCTGCAAATCCTCGCTCCCCCGTTTGTTTGACATTTTGGAGAAGGTAAAGAACGGCCGAGCTAATGGCGGAATCTCGCAGCCACTCAATAATTCAGATTTTATTGAATATTCCCCCTTCTCTCCTCCCGACGCTTCAGTCTCGCTAATTAGGACAAATCAGAAGGGCCCTGCTGTTCGCGGGGATAATAACTGCGCGGCTCGCGTTTATTAAGTGCCGTTCCGTGGGCGGAGGATTGATCGGCGCCGGGCGCTGGCGGCGCTCCCCGGACCCGCGGCCGCTCCGGGAACCCATTACGGGGCCCGCGGCAGGGATCGGTACCGAGAGGGCCCGGCGGTTGATTTGGGGGGCTTTGGGGTCTCCTTTCCACCCTCATCAGGGATCGGTATTGATAAGAACTCGGGGTTTGATTTGGGGGGCTTTGGGGTCTCTTTTCCACCCTCATCAGGGATCGGTATCGATAAGATCTGGGGTTTGATCTGGGGGGCTTTGGGGTCTCCTTTCCACCCTCATCAGGGATCGGTATCGATAAGATCTCGGCGTTTGAGCTGGGGCGAGTTTGGGGTCTCTTTTCCACCCTCATCAGGGATTGGTATCGATAAGATCTGGGGTTTGATCTGGGGGGCTTTGGGGTCTCTTTTCCACCCTCATCAGGGATCGGTATTGATAAGAACTCGGGGTTTGATCTGGGGGGGCTTTGGGGTCTCTTTTCCACCCTCATCAGGGATTGGTATCAATAAGAACTCGGGGTTTAATTTGGGGAGGGCTTTGGGGTCTTTTTTCCCACCCTCATCAGGGATCGGTATTGATAAGAACTCGGGGTTTGATCTGGGGGAGTTTGGGGTCCCTTTTCCCGCCCCCATTGGGGATTTGTGTGGGTAAGAACTCGGGGTTTGATCTGGGGGGCTTTGGGGTCTCTTTTCCCACCCTCATCAGGGATCGGTATTGATAAGAACTCGGGGTTTGATCTGGAGGGGCTTTGGGGTCTCTTTTGAGGGCTAGGGGTTTGATCTGGGGGGGGGTTGGGGTTTCTTTTCCCATGCTCATCAGGGATCGGTATCAATAAGAACTCGGTGTTTAATTTGGGGAGGGCTTTGGGGTCTTTTTTCCCACCCTCATCAGGGATCGGTATCGATGAGGGCTCGGCCTTTGATTTGGGGAGGGTTTGGGGTCCCTTTTCCCTCCCTCCTTAGGGATTTTTATCAATAAGATCTCGGAGTTTAATTTGGGGAGGGGTTTTGACGACCCTTTTCCCGCCCTCATTAGAGATTTGCAGACAGAATAACTCGGAGTTTGATCTGGGGGGGCTTTGGGACCCCTTTTCCTTCCCCCATTAGAGATTTGCATCCACAAGAACTCGGGGTTTGATTTGTGGAGGGCTTTGGGGTCTCTTTTCCCACCCTCACTAGGGACTGGTATTGATGAGGGCTGGGGGTTTGATTTGGGGGGGCTTTGGGGTCCCTTTTCCCGCCCTCATTAGGGCTTTTTATAGATAAGAACTCGGGGTTTAATTTGGGGGGTTCGGGTCCCTTTTCCCACCCCGATTAGGGATTTTTATTGATAAGAACTCTGGCTTGAATCTGGGGGGGCTTTGGGACCCCCTTTTCCCTCCCCCATTAGAGATTTGTAGCAATGAAGGCTCAGAGTTTAATCTGGGGGGTTTAGGGACCCCTTTCCCATCCCTTTGCCAGGGGGTCCCTCCTGACCCCTCCCTCGGCCTCGCCCTTCCCCTCCTTCCTTCCCCACGGGAAAAGGGCGTGGAAATGTGGAAATCCGCCGGTTTGGGGACATTTCCTCTCGTTTTTGGGCTGAAGAGCCTCTCAGTGTGGAAACCCGCCGGTTTGGGGACATTTCCCCTCATTTTTGGGCTGAAGAGCATCTCAGTGTGGAAACCCGCCGCTTTTTGGGTATTTTTTCCTCATTTTCCAGCTGGATGCAGGAGGGGCCGTCCCTGGAGAGGCCAAAAGGATGCTCAGAGCCCAAAACCATCCCGGGGCAGGGCCGAGCTTTCCCTGCTGGCCTGGAATGGGGGAGGAGGAGGAGGAGGAGGAGGAGGAGGAGGAGGAGGAGAGGAGGAGGAGGAGGGGAAACGTGGGAAGCGCTGGAGCAAATGGCGCTTTGATAGACACCGTCTGGCAGCTCCGAGGCGGCCGCCGAGCGCTCCGCAGCAGCCGGGGGTATTAAACGAGGAGGAGGAGGAGGAGGAGGAGGAGGAGGGGAAACGTGGGAAGCGCTGGAGCAAATGGCGCTTTGATAGACACCGTCTGGCAGCTCCGAGGCGGCCGCCGAGCGCTCCGCAGCAGCCGGGGGTATTAAACAAACCCCAAAATTATGAATCGCCTTCCGCGGGGCTCCGCTGTCCCCCCGAACTGGCGGCTCGGGGTCCCCCGGAGCGGAGGGGAGGCGGTGGGAGAGGGGCAGGGGGTGCTGGTGGCTCCCAGGAGCGGAACCCGGTGGGAAGGGGGCTTTGGGTGTTCCAATATTCCAATATCCACGGCTGGGGCGGATGTTGAGTCCGGACAAACGGACAATCCGGACAAACGAGGCATTGGAGCTGCCGGCTCCTTTCCTGGAGGGAAGATTTGGGGGAAAGATGGTTCGGAATCAACAGCGGCCCTAAAATCACCCCGCCTCCTCTTTGTTCGAGCCGAGAGAGATCATCCGCAGCGATTTCCGAAACATCTGTCGAGCCTTTGCCTTCTTTTATTTCACTTTTTCGTTTATTTTCTCTTTACGGCCCGCGGTGTGAACCCAGCCCGGCTCCGCTGCTTTGAACCCCAAATAAAAGATCCCAAATTCTCCGACGTTCCCTGGAGAGGGGGGATGACCCCACCCGGGCACTGAAAACACCAAATTCACCCCAAAAATCTGCGGGTGGGTTGGGGGGACACCCCAAAAGCCGAACGGGCCAGCCGGGCTCGCTTCACCCTACAGAAAAAGGGGCTGGGGGAGAGTCTGGGGTGCTGCGCTCATTTTTAGGGTCGCCCCCCGCCCCAAATTTCCCATCCCCCCGGGCTCAAACCCCTCCTGGACTCCTCCCAGAATTTGGGAGACCCCAAAGCCTTCTTGGGGTCATTCCTTTGGGGAAACCTCCCCCAAACCCACCCCGGGATGAGTTTTGGGGTGAAAATCCCGCGAGGGGAGGAAGATGTGAAAGGGATCCGAGAAATCCCAAATGAAATCGAGGATCCGGGGGGTTTGGGGTCTGTGGGGCTGGAAAAGGGAGGAGGAATTAAAAGAAGGTTTTGGAATTTAGGGGGTTGGAAAAGGGAGGAGAAATAAAGGGGTTTTAGGGTTGGAAAAGGGGGGATGAATAAAGGGATTTTGGGGGTTTTGGGGTTGGAAAAGGGAGGAGAAATAAAGGGATTTTGGGGCTGGAAAAGGGAGGAGGAATAAAGGGGTTTAGGGTTGGAAAAGAGAGGAAGAATAAAGGGGTTTTGGGGGTTTTGGGGCTGGAAAAGGGAGGAGGAATGAAGAAAGGCCCCCCAGGCCCATCCCTTACCCCTCCTTCTCTCACGTTCACTTGGTCCCCCCAACGTGTGCAATTTTTTGGAGCTTTTACCTAAAATCCTCCTTCTTTTTTTTTCTAAATACCCTTTTTTTTTTTTTTTTTTTTTTTTTTTTTTTTTTTTTTTTTTTTTTTTTTTTGCCTCGTTTCTTTGCAGCTCCGGACGTTTCAAAGCCCGGGAACCGCGGTGGATTCTGAGAGAAAGAGGAGGAGGAGGAGGATGGGGATGAAGGGCGGGATTGGGGTGTGGGAGGCCGGGAATGGCCCCGGAATTCGCGTGGGCTCCGCGCTGCCTTTGTGTTGTTTTCCCATCCCTTTATCCCCTTTTTTAGGGTTTTTATTTGGGTTTTTTTTCGGGGTTTTTTTTCCCTTAAATTAGAGGATTTTTCCCGTCCTAGAAGCAGAACCCCAAAAATGCTAAAATTAAGAAAGAACCACCCGACTTTAATTGAACACAATAAATAAATGAATGGATAAATAAATAAACACCAAGCTGGAGGGAAATGAAACCAGGATGGAGGGAATATTTCCTCTGGAATTGTTGCTTGGGAGCGATTTCTTTTGTCTCCTCTCAGGGAACACGAGGAGATTATTAAACCTCATTACAAAGCAGGGGAAAAAGGAATGATTTATGGAGGAAAACAAAAAAAAAAAAAAAGCGCGCTTTTTTGGAGTGAAATCCAGAGCAAACACGTTGGTCGCTTTTATAAAGACGTTTATTTACACTATGAAAATAATATACAATAAATAATTTGCCCTTTGCTACGAAAGGATTTGAATAAATAATCTACATCTAAAACGTAAAAAGAGGAAGGAAAATTCCCCTGATTTTTTTATTTATTTTATTTTTTAAAATTTTATTACGAAATCTAAAAGTCTCCTTCTGATTCCTGAGAAAGTCGCTGGGGAGGAGGATTTATAAATTTAATTTATTTTTTCTCTCGAGGGGCTGAAATCGCCCCCGTGAGTGAGAACTACCGGCTGCTTCCTTGGAAATAAATAAGGGAGGGAAAAAATAAATAAAACCATCAGGAAATACCTGAATTTTAGCAAAACTCGGGCGGCTCTTTCACCTTCTGGAATAAATATTGGGAGGGGGTTTGGAGCTTCCAAACGGAAGTGGGAGGAGGCGACTGGATGGGAAATGGCTTGGGGCTGATTTTGGGGGTTCCCCTTCTTTTAGGGCCGATTTGGGGGGGTTCCACTTTTTTTCAGGGCAGATTTTGGGGGGTTCCTCTTCTTTTATTGCCGAGTTTGGGGTGAGTTCTCCTTCTTTTAAGCCAGACTTTGGGAGTTCCCCCTTCTTTCAGGGCAGATTTTGGGGTACGGGCCATTGTTTTAGGGCAGATTTTGGGGGTTCCCCTTCTTCTAGCGCAGATTTTGGGATGGTTCCCCTTCTTTTGGAGCAGATTTTGGGGTTTCCCCCTTATTTTAGGCCAGATTTGGAGTTTCCCCCTTCTTTTATGGCAGATTTTGGGGTGTGGGCAGTGGCTGGTGGCCCCAAAATTCCGGCTGGGATGCGAGGGAGGGGTTCCCCTTCTTCTAGCACGGGTTTTGGGATGGGTCCCCTTCTTTTGGGGGGATTCCCCTTCTTCTAGGGCAGATTTGAGATTTTCCTCCTCTTTTAGGCCAGACTGGGGGGATTCTCCATATTTTAGGGCAGATTTGGGGTTTCCCCTTCTTTTGAGCCAGATTTGTGGTTTTCCCCTTCTTTTAGGCCAGATTTTGGGGGTTCACCTTCTCTCAGGCCAGATTTTGGGGGTTCCTCTTATTTTAGGCCAGATTTTGAGGAATCAGTTTCTCTCAGGCCAGATTTTGAGGGTTCCCCTTCTCTCAGGCCATATTTTGGGGGTTGTCCTTCTCTCAGGCCAGATTTTGGGGGTTCACCATCTCTCAGGCCAGATTTTGGGGATTCAGTTTCTCTCAGGCCAGATCTTGAGGGTTCACCTTCTTTTAGGCCAGATTTTGGGGATTCCTCTTCTTTTAGGCCAGATTTTGGGGGTTCAGTTTCTCTCAGGCCAAATTTTGGGGGTTCCCCTTCTCTCAGGCCAGATTTCGGGGTGCTGGCAGTGTCTGCTCCCAGGCTGACCCTCCCCAAACCCTCGGGGCAGAGCAGGAGCGCGTCCCCCCGCTAGGGAAAATCCAAATCCTGCAGGTCCATGGTGCAGAGCGCGCTGCTGAAGAACTCCAGCTCCTCCTCGGAGAAGCGCAGGGGGCTCCCCAGAGACCCCTCAGCGGCAGGAGAAAACCCCCGGGCGAGCTCAGGGCACGGCTCGGCCGCGAACGCCCCCAGCTCGGGCGCCGCGCTCTCCTCAGTGGCGCCCAACGCGGGGCAGCGTTCGGCCTCGCCGCTTTCGTCGCGGCCGGCCGAAACGGGCTCTTCCTTGTGCTGCGTCTGCCTCTTGTGCTTCATGCGGCGGTTCTGGAACCACACCTTGACCTGGCGCTCGGTGAGCTGCAGCAGCGCCGCGATCTCCACGCGCCGCGGCCGGCACAGGTATTTGTTGAAGTGGAATTCCTTCTCCAGCTCCAGCAGCTGCGTGTTGGTGTAGGCGGTGCGGAGACGCCGGGAGCCGCCGCTCTCCGGCAGCCCCGCGGCCTCTGCCGAGGGAAAAATTACAGGAGAACGTCACCAAAGAGAGGAGCTCTGCACGGCTCCGCCGGGGAAAAATGGGTTAATTCAACTTTTCCAGCTCCGGAGGAGTTCGCTGCCTCCAGGGGAAAAGGGATTTTGCTCCCTGGTCTCTCCCTTTAGAGCCCTTCCCTCTCTGCCGCCCTGGAGGGAAAAAAGAATTTCTAACTTCCTTCTAAATCCCTAAAATGTAGGGAATTTCTAAATCTCTTCTAAATCTCCTCTAAATTTCTTCTAAATTTCTTCTAAATCTCTTCTAAATCTCCTCTAAATTTCTTATAAATTTCTTCTAAATGTCTTCTGAATTTCTTCTAAATCTCTTATAAATCTCTTCTAAATTCATAAATTCCTTCTTTCCTGTTTTTTTGTTGTTTTGTTTTCTTGGTGTTTTTTGGGTTTTTTTGGGTTTTTTTACCTTTTTCCCGGTACTTTGGTTCCATTATTCCAATTTTCCCTGGCCAATGAGCTCCGGTTTCCTGCCCTTGTCCTGCCCGATTTTACCCGAGCCGTGGAAATCCTGGAATTGTTCCTCCAGCACTTTATCCCGAGGGAAAGAAAGAGGCCCAGCAGCGAGGGGCTGCTCCGTTTTCTGGGGGTGTTTTGGGGTGTAATAATTCCATTTTGTAGGATCAGCCCCCGCTCTTTCCCCTCCCCACCCTTCTGGCACCTTCCCCACCCATTTTCCTTCCCCCCTCGGCGCTCCTTGGTGGTTTTGTTGTCTTTGCTTTTCCCTTTTTTTAAATTTTTTTTTTTAACTTTTATTTTCCCCCCCAGGCAGCTCTGGCATTGAAAGCCGAACAAGCGGAGTTGCAAACCCCCCACCCCAAGACCACCCCCCGGGCTTTCCTCGCTCGGGGCTTCTCCAGAACTTGCAGAAATTTGGATTTTTTAATTCGCGGCGGGAGGGAGGAGGCGGCAGATCCCCCCCGAGCCCGGGCTGGGGACATCGCTCCGTGAATCCCCCGATCCCGGGGGAGCCCCCCTGGGCAGGGGGATGGGCCGGGGCTCTTTTGGGGCCAGGCGAGCGGAATTGGCCATTTCCCGACGCACCCCCCGGCCATACGAACCTGCGGGGGATCCCGCGGCGGGCACCGGCAGCGAGGAGGAGGAGGAGGATGGTGGGGACGGAGCCTGGCTGGTCCTCTTGGACGATTTCTTCTCCTTCATCCAGGGGAACTGCGCTGCCCGGGGGCCGGGCTGGGCCGGGGGCCGGGCCGGGCCATGGGGGGCTCGGCTGGGGCTCCTCGGGCTCGCCCGGCTGCCGGAACAAGGGCTGAGGCTTTGGAGGACGCTTTGCTCAAAAGGAGGAGGAATTAATGTCGAGTCCTTGATTGATGAAGTTTGAAATGTCTCCAGGACAGCGGGGAGAGACGTCAGGCACTCAGCGAGCGAAGGCTGGCTATTTATAAACCCGATCTCCCTCTCAAATTCAAAATTCATGGCTTTTCCAGGGCCCGGCGTTTAAAAAGCGGGAGGGAGGCGGGGGAGAGGGAGGAGGAGGAGGAGGAGGAGGGGGAGAGGGAGAGAAATCGGAGGGCCTCGGGTTTTTGTTGGCGGGGATGATGACGGTCCTCGGGCTTTTTATAATTGTTATATTGCCGATAATACAGGCGGAGGGGGACCCTGCTCTGCTAAACTCGAGGCTGGGGCGAAATTGCAGCCAATTCCTCGTCACGTGGGAGGCCCTGGCCAATGGCAGGAGGGGCCTGGTGGCAAACAGAAAGCATTATTTTCTTTAATTGATTAAAAAAAAAAAAGGGGGGGGGGGTAAAAAAGCGAGAGAGAGAGGAACCCCAGAAAAGCCAACACCACCCAGCAGCACCCCAGAATGAACATCATCCCCTGGCTGTGGGCAGGGAGATCCTTCCTTCCTTCCTTCCTTCCTTCCTTCCTTCCTTCCTTCCTTCCTTCCTTCCTTCCTTCCTTCCTTCCTTCCTTCCTTCCTTCCTTCCTTCCTTCCTTCCTTCCGTCTTTCCTGATATTTCCTGAGCTTTTTGCCATGGAGGTTCTTGTCCTGCCAGTTGTTCCCGGTCCCTTCCTATCCTTCACCTGCCTCCCGTCCTGCCTGTCTTTCCTGTCCTTCCTGGTGCTCCCTGTCCTGCTTTCCCTGCCCATCCTGTCCGTGTCCCATGCCCTGCCTGTCCTTCCCGGCATTCCCACTTTCCCTGCCCTTTCCTGCCCATTCCCTGCCCTTTCCATCCCCGTTCCATCCCGGTTCCTTCCGGTTCCATCCCCATTCCAGCCCCGTTACAGCCCCATTCTCTGCCCATTCCTACACTTTTCCCTGTCCATTCCCTGCCCTTTCCCTGCGTTCTCCCGTTTTCCCTGCCCATTCCCTCCCTGCCCATTCCCATTCCATCCCCATTTCACCCCGTTCCTGCCCTGTTCCATCCCCGTTCCATCCCCATCCCCGTTCCATTCCCATTCCCTTTCCAGCCCCGTTCCATCCCCGTTCCATCCCCGTTCCCCACCCTTTCCATCCCCGTTCCCGTTCCAGCCCCGTTCCATCCCCGTTCCAGCCCCGTCCCCTTTCCATCCCCATTCCCGCTCCATCCCCGTTCCGTCCCCTCCGCTCCCGGTGCCTCCAGCCGGGCCCCGAGCTCTGGCAAAATGGGATTTTCTGGCAAAATGGGATTTTCTGGCAAAACGGGATTTTCTGCCCTCCCGGCCATTCCCTGCTCCCTCCTCTCCCATTCCCGCAGCTCGGGAAGCGCCCGGGCTTTCCCTGGGCCGGTGTTTGAGCCCGGCTGCGAGCACTTAGGAAATCAAAGGAGCCTTTAAGCTGAGTTTAGTTAAACCGGCCCGATTTAGGGGTTTAAATGACTCTTAAAGAGCAGCCTAATCCTTCTCCTTCCCAAGCCGGGCTTAATGGACGCTTTGCACTTTGCTGGAAGGCCAAACCCGTTTTGCGGTCACGGATATCTCTGAAATCGCATTTCTTCCTTCCCATCTTTCTTTTTTCCCCCCATCTCCAACAAAGCAGCGCCACTTCCAGAGTTTACAAAATAAATATATAAAATGAAAAAGTCATTTCCCAAGATTTTTTTTTTTGTGTTTCCCCCCCTTTCTTTCCCCTCTCTAAAGCGCCCCGGGTCCGCACGACCCGAGAAGAAGAGAGAAACCATCAATCTTCTCCTCCAAAGACTCCTGACAGCTCGCCCGGCTCACTCAGCAGAGAAATTCGGCTTTTGCCTCGCAGTTTTTTAACCCAGGGCAGATTTATAAACTTTAATCCGCCGGTGTCAAGGGTAGAAACTCAAAAAAAAACCGGAGAGAAATGAAAATGAATGAGCCTGGAGGGGATGAGACGGAGTTTTTGGGGTTTTTTGGAGCTCCAGTTGTCCCAGTTTGCGGTCGGGAGGGACTGGGAGGCTCCATTCCCGCAGGGAGCAGCCTGGAAACTTTTGTCACTTCAAGCATCTGCGTGGGTGGGGAGGGTTGGGGAATAAATCTAAAGCTCGTTCAGCAAGCGGGGGTAAAGAAAATAATTACAATAATTAAAAAAATACCCAGCGCCAACCCGGATTTCCCTGAGAGATTTGTGGATTCGCGTAGCAAAACCACCCAAAAATCTGTTTAATCTCGTCAGATCAATGGTTAAAAAGAAAATAATCTTTTTTTTTTTTTTTTTTTTAAACCCGAAAAAGGGTTTGTGCTCCTTGCTGGCTGGTTTGAAGTGGATGTTTGGGGTTTGCCTGCGGTTGGCAATTCCTCGGGTTTGAGGGATGGGATAAAGAAGAGGAGGAATTTGGGATGGAAAATTCTTCCCAGCCGCTGCCAAAAGTTGTCTCTGCTTTTCGGAGCTGCAAGGGGAAAAGAAAAATGAAAATAGGGGGGATGGAAAGAGGGAAAAATGAGAAGAGGGGGAACGAAAAGAGGGGAAAGTGGAAAGGGGGGAACAAGAAAAGTGGGGGGTGAAATGAGGGGGAGAAGGCCACACATAATATATATTTTATAGAATATATTATATATATAAATGTATAAACTACATAAAACACAAAAATATGAACTATATTAAAATATATAAAGTACAAAACACGAACCCCACGCTCTGCCTTACACCCCAACCCCCTTTCTTTTTCTTTTTTAAAATTTTTTCCCCTTTTTTTGGGTACCTTTTCCAGCTTTTCCACCCTTTCTCACGGCTGCAATGAAAATCCAAAATCCTCCTTTCCTTCCCCCCTTCCTCCTCCTCCTCCTCCTCCTCCCCCCCATCCTTCCCAGCGCCATAAAACTTTTATTGCCCCTCGCAGCTTTAACGGGAGTTTTCTCAGGGCTTTAGAGCATAAAAAGCGAATTATTCACGGCGTTCTCCGCCCTGGCCCAGGTTTGTTCTCCCCTTTCACTTTCGCCTTTTCTGGGGGCTTTTTTCCCTCTTTTAGCCCAAATTTGGGGTGCCCGGAGAGGTGCGGCTGGGCGCACGTGGGTGCCGCACGCTCCTGTTTCAGAAATAATTCCGTTGTTTTAGCCAGAACTCAATCGTTTGCGCCAGAATTTAATTATTTAATATTCAATTAAATACCATAGAAATTATGGGTTTCATTCCTCGTCGCTTCCCAAGGCCCCGAGTGGAAACTCCGGGCCATTTTTCCATTTTTTCTCTCTCTTTTATTTTTCCCTCTCCTTGTTTTTATTTATCATTTCTCGTGATTAATCCTTTTCCCTTTGTTTTCCTTCCCTCTCCAATGGCAGCCCTGCCCTGGCTCCACGTGATCCCTCTTTGTGGGCCCGAATTCCCAGGATTTCACCCCAAAGCGGGCTCCGCTCTCCATCCCTCTCCTTCCTCCCCACCTCAACAATTTCATTTTTTCCCCCCCGCTCTTTTCAAATCCTTTCCTTTTCCCCTCCAAACCCGAGGGACGGGGACGAGATAAAACGGAGAACAGAAAAGTTTATTCAGGAATTGTTGAGCAGACAAGCCTCGAAGCGAGGAAAGAAAAGAACTACTGTAAGAACAAAGGAAGAGCTCCGGCGAGGAGGGGCGGGAGGGGAGGGAGCCGCGATGAAATTCTTCTAATTCAGGACTAAACAATTACAGTCTGCTTCTGCTCTCATGCCTCCAGTAGAACTAATTACATTATTCATAAGTACCAAGGTAACATAAAACTACTGCTTCTCCCTAAATTACGATAACTAAAAGGAGCTCGTGGTACAGTGACAAGGGGAACACAAGGTTCTTTTTAATTTTTTTTTTTTTTACTTTTTTTCTGCTTTTTTTTTTCTTTTTTTGGAAGGAAATGCTAAAAAAGTACCATTTGATTCTTATTTTTGTCCTTTTTTTTTTGTTTGTTTCGTTGCTTTTCCCTCATATAAATACATGGTCTTGGGGGGGGATAAATAATACAAAAAAAAAGGAAGAAAAAAAAAAAGAAAATATTTTCAACTGGCTATAACCAATAAATATATATGAATGTTCACCAGAACACACACCTAACTGAAGGGCGCCTCGACGGAGCTGAGAGCCCTTCAAAGTTGCTTTTATTTATTATTATTATTATTTTTTTAATACCCATTATATGTAAACTCTAAGTGCAACAAAGATGTCCAGGCAGGAAAGCGTCAGCAGATCCCAGGATCCCTCGGCTTCTGCTTCCGTGGGAGGACATTCCCTCTGCTCAAATATACCCTGTTTTCACGTCAGCTCAAAGGAGAGGAGGAAAGAAGCTCAGGATTTCCCAAATTGCTTTTTTTTCTGCTTGTCAACCCTAAAAAACACCACCCCCCAAAAAAAGAAACCCTCCCCAAATGGAGAAATTGAGATTTCGCCTCAGCAGAGGCGAAGGAAGGGAAATATTCAGACCTGGGAGCTCTTTCTTCCTCTCTTTGGAATTTTGGGTGGGGGGGAAAAAAGGGGGATTTAGGCGTTGCCAACAATTTCCTCAAGCCTTTGCGGGGTTAGACCTCTCTTATCCCGAATTTTTTCAAAAAAATTTTTTGTGTTGTTGTTTTGGAGAGGGGGAGCAGGGCCTGGAGGGACGAGCGTGGCTCCCGGGCCTTGGCGGGTGTGGGGATTTGCAGGTTTGGGTTGGGAGTTACACTGTGGGAAATGGGATTGTTCCTTTTTCCATTGGGAAATTGGGTTTTTTCCCGTGGGAAATTGGGTTTTTCCCTTTTCCACTGGGGAGGAACGCACAGGTGGATCGGGAGAAGGACTCGGAGGACGGGGGAGATTCCTGGTGGATCTCTTTGGGGGTTTTTTGGATGCAGATACCCCAAAACTTGGCTGGCGGACTCTTCTCCTTCCCGGCATCCGGGAATTATCGGTGACGATCCAGCCGTGGCTTGGAAACGATGGATTTGGCCACTCAAACCCTGCAGAATTCCCACAAAACCACCCCAAGCCCGTTTCAGAAGAACTTGTGCCAAAACCCACGAGGTTCCTCCCCTCCAAAGCCACCAAAACCGCTTGGATTTTGTGCTCATAACAAAACCCCAAAACCCCGAGCGTGATAACCCCGCCAAAACCATCGAGGCCGGAAAAAAAACCCAACACAAACATCCCTGAAACCCAAACCGCCCTTTTTCTCCCCGAAACAGCTTCGCCTCTCACAGGTGGGTGAGCTTGGGCGCCTCTTGGATTCTGCCCTGAGAAGTCGCGTGGTGCGACGAGAGCTCCGTGTACGCGGCGTGGCTCTCGCACGGTCCGTGGGGCTGGCCCGGGGGGACCCCTCCGTAGTCCATGCCGGCGGTCTGGTGGTGGGGCAGGTGGTTGAGGCCGTAAAGGGCCGGGCCCGAGGCGGGCAGAGAATCCACAAAGTTCCCTCCGACGTACGCGGGGCTGCCCTGCATGCCGGCCGTCCCGTAGGCCACGCCGTTGGCCTGCAGGACGTGCGGCTCGTACTCGGCCGCCGCGGCGGCCCCGGCGTATTTCTGCTGGCTCGGGCAACCCTTCAGGGGCGCTTGGTAGCCGGGGGCGGCCACGGCGTAGGCGTTTTGGTGGGGTTTGCTGAAGGAAGGCGGCGACGGCGCCTCGTAGGCGCCGCTCATGGGGTGCAAGGCGTTGAGGAACCCCGCCGAGGCCTGCATGGGCTGCGGGGGGCTGCCCGCGGGGGAAGGCCCTCCGGAGGAAGAGCCGCCCATGCCTTTGGATTTCTGATCCTTTTTGTACTTCATCCTCCTGTTCTGGAACCAGATCTTGATCTGGCGCTCGCTGAGGTTCAGCAGGTTGGCCATCTCCACGCGCCGCGGCCGGCACAGGTATTTGTTGAAGTGGAATTCCTTCTCCAGCTCCACCAGCTGGGCGCTGGTGTAGGCCGTGCGCGCCCTCTTGGAGGCCGAGGAGCCCGGGGGGCTTTTCTCACCGCCGCTGCCGCCGCCGCCGCCGCAGGTTTCTGTCGGGCCCCCGGAATGAAATAAAAGAGAATTACTTACACGCAGAAATTGAATGCGTCGCTTCTTAATAAATCCTCCCCTCGCCCCTCCGCGTCGGCCTGCACTCCATAATCGTGTCATTTATTAAGAGCCCTGTTCTCCAAAGCTGCCCCTGCTTTATGAAAATTTGATCATGTCATGTAGGAGAGGATTCCAGGGCCCGTTATTGAGCAGGGGATTATTTCCAGCTGATAATTTTCCAGAAAATGACGTTTGGCAGGGCGGCCGCGGGGCCAATTAATGCGGGGTGGGGAGGGGGTGGTTGCACACAGGTGTGACACCAAGGTTTGCCTCTGCACCGACCTCGGCCACAGGTAAACTCCATAAATTGCATTAATGGGGGATGAGGTACACCCCATGAGGTTTGTGTGAAAGAATTTGTCAAAACTGTGGTGAATCCAAACTGAATTTTTGGGTTTTATCTGAATTCATCTGAATTGTGGCAAATCCGAGCCAAAATTTTGGTTTTTATCTGAATTTATCTGTGAATTTTTGGGTTTTGTCTGAATTTATCTGAATTGTGGCCAATCCAAACCGAATTGTTGGTTTTTATCTGAATTTATCTCAATCTTTGGTGGGACACACGGAGAAGTTGGACGTGGCACCACACCTGCTCTCTCTGAGCGCCGGGAAGGCACCAAACAGAATTTTAGCAGCGAGTTGAGCAGTTAGGAGAACATTTTCCCCAAATTTTTGTCCACCAGCCGGGCCTGGGCTGGGCCCAGCACCCGTGGTTGTGTTTGAAATAAATCCATAAATAAATAAACCAGGGGTGGGTGGGCAGTGCCCGGGGCCAGGACCCTCCCTGGGGTCTCATCCCTGCAGAGGAGAAGGGAAATGGTCACACCTGTCAGCTCTTCCTTCCTCCCTCGGGGATTCTGGGCTGGAAACCGGGAATTTGGGTCTTCCCTAAACCGATTTCTCCAACCTTTTGGGATTCTTAGACCTCTTTTTGGAATTCTGGGCAAGAAAAGCAGAATTTGGGCCTTCCCCAAAAGGATTCCTCCAACCCTTTGGGATTCTTAGACGTGTTTTTGGAATTCTGGGCTGGAAACCGGGAATTTGGGCCTTCCCCAAACTGATTCCTCCAACCCTTCATGTTCTTAGACCTCTCTTTGGAATTCTGGGGTGGAAAAAGGAATTTGGGCCTTTCCTAAACAGTTTTCTCCAACCTTTTGGGATTCTTAGACCTCTTTTTGGAATTCTGGGCAAGAAAAGCAGGATTTGGGCCTTCCCTAAACAGATTTCTCCAACCCTTCATGATTCTTAGACCTCTCTTTGGAATTCTGGGCAAGAAAAGCCGGATTTGGGTCTTCCCTAAACTGATTCCTCCAACCCTTCATGATTCTTAGACCTCCTTTTGGAATTCTGGGGTGGAAAACAGGAATTTGGGCCTTCCCTAAACCGATTTCTCCAACCTTTTGAGATTCTTAGACCTCTCTTTGGAATTCTGAGCAGAAAAAGGGGAATTTGGGCCTTCCCTAAACGGATTCCTCCAACCCTTGGCCATTCTTACACCTCTCGTACCAATTTCTTTTTTGCTTTTTAACCTTGTTATTTCATAGCGGGCGAGGCCGGAGCGCGTCACCAAGGCCTGCCCATCTACCTGCGCCGGGCGAGCCGTTCTTCTGCTTGGAATTCTGCCTCGACTCCTTCATCCAGGGGAAGATCTGCTTGGAGATGCTGGCACCGGCCCCCACATTGCCTTTGCCGGGGTTGTTTTTCCCCCCGCCGGCCTGGCCATTGCTGCCGTCGGCGTTGGCGGCGTTGGGCGACGCCGGCGGCTCCCCGGGCCGCATGCAGCTCCCGTTGAGCTCTTTATTTTTGCCGTGGGACTGCAGGGAGCACGAGGACCTCTGGAAGTCGTTCTCCATGTGGGAAGAGGCCTGGAAAGGCGGCTGGGCGCCCTCGTAGCCGAATCCATTGGCGGCGGCGGCGCTGCCGTAGGAGTAACCCCCGAAGAGCGTGGAGCTGTCGTAGTACGAGGTCTTCTGCATCTTCCGCGAGCGTTTTTGTGGCTACCAGGGTCTTGACACCCCTATGGCAGAACATTGGCACCCCGAGGCCACGTGACGGCCCCTCTCCAGCTGTCTGGTGGGAGCTGACCTGAAAGGTTAGGAGAAAAAACACAATAATAGTGCCAGGAATCCATCTTGGGGCCTGAAAGGCTCCTGACATGAATAGGGTCCCGCCGAACGGGGGGGGAACAGATGCTGCCAGCAGATTTCACCCTGCCCGGGCTCGGCAAATTTTGATTTTTGAGGAGTTTTGGGGGTGGCAGGGCTTTTTTTTTTTTTTTTTCCCCCTCCGCTCGTTTCGCTCTGTGGCTTCGCGCCTCTGTACGTTGATTTATTGTGGATTTATCCCCCTGAAACACCCCTGGGGGTGTGAGTCACTCACACGTTTGCACACCCAGATAATCCCCAAATCAGCACAAATACGAGAGCACAGAACCGAGAATCGCCGGCCAAAAACATTAAAACAACCAAAGTCCTGCGATTTCTACTGAAATCACACACGGAGCAGCCCCAAAAACCTCCCACCAGCAGAAATTCAAAGTTTATCCCCAGGGCTTGTTTGCTTTTGAGCTGCAAACAGCGAAAATCCGTGTTTTCCCCCAGGTAACAGGGAAAATCCATGTTTTTCTACAGGTAACAGCGAAAATCCATGTTTTTCTGCAGGTAACAGCGAAAATCCGTGTTTTTTCCCCGGGTAACAGCGAAAATCCGTGTTTTTTCCCCGGGTAACAGCGAAAATCCGTGTTTTTTCCCCAGGTAACGCTGTCCTGGCACACTTGGCTCCCTTTTTTTGTTTACACAGGAACTCCCAGCGCCTCTGGAATTCAGGGCAAAGATTCCCAGCAGGTCGGAGCAGCGGCAGGAATTCAAAATGCGATTTCTCCCCCTGGCCTGCTCTGGGTCTCTCTCCCGTCTCTGACAGGTTGAATTTAGAAAATAAATCCTGTTTTTTCTTTTTTGTTTTTTTCCCGGCACGGTTTTGTGTTTCTCATCCCGAGTCCAGAGCTGGGGAGGCGCTGATCCCGAACGCGCTGGGGTTTAATCGCTGTTGTTATTTTATTTTTTTTCTCTCTTTCTCGTGGAAAACAAACACTTCACGAGGCCATTTGCTCCTCACTTTGCACCCCTTGGATTTTCCAGCGTTCCTCCCTGCCTCAAGCCAAGCTCCAAAAGTCTAAAAAAAACCCAGTCCAAAGCTTAAAATCACAAATTTAAACCTTTTTTTTCCCCTCCCCTGTCTCTATCTCTGCCATTTTTCTGATTTTTCTCCATCTCTTTCTTTTCTCTCTCGCTTTTCTGCCAGCACAAACTTTCTCCTCCATTAAAACAGAGTAGAAATACCCCGAAAAAAAGGTGAAAACGACTTGGAAATAACCGGCAGAGGGATTTTTAGAGACTCCTCTCTGCAGCCCGAGGAGCATTTGTTTGGGGATTGATATCCTTTGTATATTTAATCGTATCTCCTGTATATTCAATTTTATCTGGGCCTCTTTCATCCTGGAAAACAAAACAAAACAAACCCCGCCGAGATAAAGCCCAGCGCGATATTTTTAAGTGCCGGGGGTTTAACAGAAGCCCCAACTCGACAATAAATAACATTTTTTTTTTCTCTCCTTTTCCTGGCTGCTGTTTTTATGTCACGTCACACCAAAGCTCCGTTTGCTTCGCCCCATCCTCGCAGCGTCCACGAAGGGACGGCTCGGCCTTTTTTTTTTTTTTTTTTTTTTTTTTTTTTTTTTTTTTTTTTTTTTTTTTTGAAATTTATTTATTTAATTTTTTACCCTGATTAAATCCTTCCCGCATTCCCAAATCCGCATCGGATCTTCCTCGGAGATGCGTTATTGTCTGCGCCGAGGGCAGATCCTCGCTGCGAGTTATTCTCCTCCTCCTCCTCCTCCTCCTCCTCCTCCCTGGCCATGATAAATTTGTCTTATTAAAAAGTAGCCTCCGCTCCCCGAGCCGTGAATTAATTAATTAACAAACAGCAGCGCCTTTATTATGAATAGGTTTGCTGGAAATATCTGCGAGGGGGCAGAGGTGGGAATTTCTCCAAGGCCTTTCTGTCTGGTTAAGATTTATTTAAAAATAAAAACAAAAAACCAAAACCCAAAAGCAGCGAAACAAACCCAAACCAGAACCTTGTGAGGCTCGGCCAAAGTAGCTAAAAATAACGGCGATTATTCTTTTTTTTTTTTTTTTTCTTTTGGGTTCTTGTTGTTTTAAACGTCCATAAAATAAATTTACAACCCCCTCCGCCTCGCTCGTGGCTCCGCTTTGTACCTCATCTCTCAGCGCCTCACAAATGCCGCTCATTTATCTTCGCCCGGGACGGCCGCAATCCTAATTATTTACTCCAAGGAATTGCTTAGGAAAAGGGGAAAAAAAAAAGAAAAAGAAAAAAAAAAGGGAAAAAAAAGGCCCGGGCAGAACAATAAATATTCGATGATCTCCTGCTCCAATTAAAGGCGGGCGGGAGCCGCTCCAGCCCGCTCCGAGTTTCACTTTGGCAGCGATTCCCCAAAAACTCTTTGCCTGCAACTTCGGAGGGCGAGGATTTGGGGCCATTTAAATTAAAAAAATAATTTAAAAAATCAGAATAAATGAAGGATCGGGAGGGGGAAAGGTGAGGCAGGGGAAAAGGGGTGCGGGGAGGGATGAGGATGCTCGGGGGGGAAAAATAGAAATGGGGAAATGCAGAAATCAGGGAAGGGGAGAGGAGGGAGCCGGGGCCGGAGGGTTCTGCTGGAAAAGCGGCCCCTCCATGTTGGAAAAATCCGAATTTCCCCAGCCCGGAGGAAAAGCAGCGCCTTTCCCCTCCCCCGCCCGCGGCAGCTCCATCTCCCCGAGCGCCAAGCCGGGCTCAGCCCCGCCGTTAATTCCGGTTCTTATTAATCCCAAATATTCCAACCGTGCCCCGCAACAATAGGGCGGGAGCTGGGGACGAGCCCGAAACCCCGCGAAGGGAAAAACAACGAAGCATTGCCCAAATTTCCCTTCCTCCCTGCCCCCCACCCCAAAGCGACAACTCCCCCCGGCTGGAAAAACGCGCGGAGAGGAGGGGGGGAAATAAAATAAAAAATTAAAAAATTAAAAAATTAAAAAATAAAAAATTTAAAAATTAAAAAACGCGGCGAGAGGCGGAAAAAAATAATTAAAAAATTTAAAAAAACGCGGGGAGAAGCGGAAAAAAAAATTAAATAAAGAAGAAAAAAAAAGAGGGTGGGGGTGGCGGAATTAAAAAAAAAAAAAAAAAAACAACCCAGGCGGTGGGTGAGGGCTGCAAAAGAGGCTCTGCGTGGAAGGAAGCTTAAAGCTTGTGAACTCTTCTTGAACCGAGATTGGAGTCATATGGTCATAAATCATTGGGACATATACTCCGCCATTCACAAAGTGATCGCCTATTTGAGTCCGGCTTACCTTAGTCTCTGACGAGCCAAGCACAGGCAGACATAATATATTTTCACATCCAGCATCCACGCAATCAATAAGCGAGGAGTGACCCCCCCTCCCTCGCGCTTCCCCTCCCGGTACTCCCCGCTTTTTTTTTTTTTTTTTTTTTTTTTTTTTTTTTTTTTTTTTTTTGGTCTCTCTTTCTCCTTTCAAAACGTTAAGGGAATAAACGCGCGGGTGAAGCGTCAAAAGGAGGAAAAAAAAAAAATTAAAAAACAATAAGAATTCAATCCGGTGTTGTGGTGGGTGGAATGGATTGGTAAAAATATTATAAAAATTAAAAAAAAAATTAAAAAAAAAAAAAAAGAGGTGAAACAGAGGGGGAGGGGGCTCAGCCAGGCGGTTACGGCGGCTCAAATTGTCTCGCTCGCTCTCCGTTTGGGGGGGGAAAAAAAAATAAATAAAGAAATAATAATAAAAAAAAAAAAAAAAAATCAGGATGCTTCCCGGCTTTGCCGAGACGTGCGGGGAAAGCCGAGGGGGTTTGGGAAGGGCCAGAGGCTGGAGGTTCCACTTGGCCTCTGCTACGCGCTGCTCACTGATAACAATGGCCTCTGCTCGAGAAAGGGGAAGAAGGGAGAGGAGAAAGGAGGGAAAAAAAAAAAAAAAAAAAAAAAAAAAAAAAAAAGGAGAAGGGAGAGGAAAAAAAAAAAAGAAAAAGAAAAAGCGGCCAGAAATTGGGAAATTATACAGAAATAATAATTCAGAATTAATAATAATACAGAAATAATAATTCAGAAATAATAATAAATTAGAAATAATAATTCAGATATGAAAATAATAATTCAGAAATGATAATAATAATTCAGAAATAATAATAATTTAGAAATCCCTCACCAGCACCACCCGAACCCCCCCCCGGAAGAGCTGGGCCGGGATTAAAATTTCAATTAAATTAAAATTGAAATGAAATGCTGGCGGGAAGGCTGCGAGGGGGCTCGGAGGTGATGGGGAGGGGGGTGAGGAGCGGGGACCCCCCAAAAATTCGGGTTTGGTTCGGGGTGGCCGGGCCGGGGCAAATTGTGGGGCCCGGCCTGGGCAGGAGGCGGCAGCGGCGCCTTTGATCCACGTGATGAGCAATTAGGCGTCAATTTATGCAAATGAGGCTCGGCAGCAGCTCCGCGCCCCCCTCTCCGCAGCGCGGCCCTGCCGGAGCTGAGGGTGCGCCCCCAAATTTCCTTCTCGCAGCCGCCCCCAAATCCAAAGCCCAGTTTTTGGGGGTTTCGGAATGCTCGGTGCTGCTACAACTCGGAGTAACCTCGGCGGAGTTTTCACCACCCCAAGGGTGCGCCCCCAAAATTCCTTCTCGCAGCCACCCCAAAAACCCAACCCTAACATTTTGGGGGGTTTCTAAGGGGCGGTTTTGAGCAATTCTCGCTGTTGCTACAACTCGGAGTAACTTGGGCGGAACTTTCAGCACCCCGAGGATGCTCCCCCGACCTCCCTGCTCCTCTCAGCCACCCCAAAAACCCCAAACCCCATTTTTTGGGGATGCTCCCCCGACCTCCCTGCTCCTCTCAGCCACCCCAAAAACCCCAAACCCCATTTTTTGGGGATGCTCCCCCGACCTCCCTGCTCCTCTCAGCCACCCCAAAAACCCCAAACCCCATTTTTTGGGGGCTTTCTGAATGCTCGGTGCTGCTACAACTCGGAGTAACTCCAGCGCAACTTTAAGCACCCCCGAGGATGCTCCCCATAATTTTTCCACCCCCTCGAAGCCACCCCAAAAACCAAAACCCAAAATTGCTTTGGGGTTTTCTAAGGGGCGGTTTTGAGCAATTCTCGCTGTTGCTACAACTCGGAGTAACTTCAGAGTAATAACTCCACAATTTTCCCAAGGGTGCTCCCCCCAATTTCTCTTCTCAGCCACCCCAAAACTCCAACCCCAAAATTGCTTTGGGGTTTCTGGGGGGCGGTTTTGAGCAATTCTCGCTGCTGCTACAACTCGGAGTAACTTCAGAGGAACTTTCACTCCCCCCCCAGGGTGCTCCCCCCAATTTCCCTCCTCAGCCACCCCAAAACTCCAACCCCAAAACTGTTTTGGGGTTTCCGGGGGTGGGGGGCGAGGGGGTTTGAGCAATTCTCGCTCTTCCTACAACTCGGAGTAACTTCAGTGCATCTTCGAGCACCCCAAAAACCCAACCCCACTTTTGGGGCTTTCCGAGTGCTCGCTGTTACAACTCGGAGTAACTTCAGCGGAACTCTTCACATCCCAGAGGGTGCTCCCCCAATTTTCCTGCTCCTCGCAGCCACCCCAAAACCCAAATCCCATTTTGGGGGGTTTTGGGGGTGGTTTGAGCAATTCTCGCTGTTGCTACAACTGGGAGTAACCTCAGAGGAACTTTCAGCACCCCGAGGATGCTCCAGCAATTTCCCTGCTCCTCAGCCACCCCAAACCCCAACATTGTTTTGGGTTTTGGGGTGATTTTTGGGTTTTGGGGGTGATTTGAGTAATTCTCGCCGCTGCTACAACTCGGAGTAACTTCAGCAGAACTTCGAGCCCCCCAGAGGATGCTCCCCCCGATTTCCCTTCTCCTCAGCCACCCCAAAACCCAAAAAAAATATGGGGGTTTGGATTTTGGGGTGGCCGAGGAGATTTTTGGGGGGTTTGGGGTTGTTTTTTGAGCAATGCTCAGTGTCGCTACAACTCGGAGTAACTTCAGCGGAACTTCGAGCAGCCCGGAGCCAATCTCCCTTCTCCTCAGCCACCCCAAAAACCCCAAACCTCAAACATTTTGGGGAGTTTTTTGAGCAATTCTCGCTGTTCCTACAACTCGGAGTAACCTCAGCGGGACTTTGAGCACCCTCGGTGTTGCTACAACTCGGAGTAACCTCAGAGGAGACTTTGCTCACCCCGGGGCCCTGCGGGGGACCATAAAGACAATTATCATTGCTGTTAATAAAGCTAATTACTACTGCTGGTATCCATAACCCGCCACGGCCGGGCCGCTGTCGCCGCGGGAAATTTACGATTTTCGCCTCTCCCGGCAGCAAAACTTGGCCAAAAAAGGGATTTTCGGGAGATTTAGGGAGTTTTTTAGGGGGGAATTTTAAAAAACCCCTTGCCCAGGAGGGGCTGGCGAGTGGGAGGAAGGCAGGGCTCAGGAATTTAGGTGTCTGCACTTTTTTTTTTTTTACTTTTTTTTTGCTTTTTTCCCTTTTTTTCCTCTTTTTTTCTCTTTTTTCCTTTGGAAGCGCCACTTTTGTTCCCCATCCCAATTATCTCCTTTAATTGTGGGCGCTCCCTCCTCGGCCTGAAGTGCTGACGAGGGGGAATTTCGTGGAGAAAAAGGGAAAGAGGCGCCACAAAAAGCTCTTTGGAGCTGCCTGGGATGGCAGAACCCATGGAGGGCTCCCATCGCCTTTCCTTTTTTATTATTTTAAATTATTATTATTGATTTTTTCAAAATTTCTGTGTGCTGCACCTTCAGGCTGAGAACTCTGAAAAAAAAAAAAAAAAAAAAAAAAGGAAAAAAAAAAATAATTTAAAAAAGAAGGATGCCCAAGGGAAGATTTGGACTTTTGGGGAACTCTCTCAGCTGAAATTTTCCAGGTGATTTTTAAAGTTTTATCCCAAGAATTCCCGGGTTTTGCGGCTTTTGTTGTGCCCGCAGCCTCCGGCCCGTAATTGGCATTTTATGAGGATTTCTCCTCACCTCCCCACCCCTCTCATCTGACTTTTTATGGGCTGCTCCCACATAAATCTCCTGCTACGAGACAGGTCCCGCCTGGGAACGCCGGCGTTGGATTCCCGGGAAGAAAAAAAAGGGGAAAAAGAGGGGGAAAAAGAGGAAAAAGAGGGGAAAAAGAGGAAAAAGAGGGGAAAAAGAGGAAAAAAAAAGAGGGGAAAAAAGAGGAAAAAGAGGAAGAACAACCGCGGGCTGTATAAAAACTTCTCCGGAGTTGAAATGCCCCTGGATTTCTGCATTTCTGACTTTTTGGAATTCAGGGAGACCCAGAAGTGCTGAACCCCCGCGGAATTTCTGTATTTCTGATTTTTTGGAGCTCAGGGAGACCCAGAAGTGCTGAACCCCCCCGGATTTCTGCATTTCTGATTTTTTGGAGCTCAGGGGAAAAGGAGGAAAAAGAGGGGGAAAAGAGGAAAAAAAAGAGGGGAAAAAAGAGGGAAAAGAGGAAGAACAACCGCGGGCTGTATAAAAACTTCTCCGGAGTTGAAATCCCCCGGATTTCGGCATTTCTGACTTTTTGGAGCTCAGGGAGACCCAGAAGTGCCGACCCCCCGCGGAATTTCTGTATTTCTGATTTTTTGGAGCTCAGGGAGACCCAGAAGTGCCGAACCCCCCCGGATTTCTGCATTTCTGACTTTTTGGAGCTCAGGGAGAGTCAGAAGTGCCCGGGATGCTGCGAGCGGCTGCTCAGAAATGGGAAAAATTCGGATTTTCACCCCAAGAGCCGGGACAGCCCCCGGGGCGGGATCGGCTCCGGGCGCGGCCGCGTCTGCTGCGCTCGCGGCTTCTGCTCCAGCCAGCTGCGAATGTCGCGATTTGGGGCTTCCCTCAAAGGCCAGTGTCGCGATTTGGGCTTTCCCTCAAAGGCCAGTGTTGCCATTTGGGGTTTTCCCTCAAAGGCCAATATCGAAATTTGGGGTTTTCTGTCAAAGGCCAGCGTCGCCATTTGGGGTTTCCCCTCAAAGGCCAATATCGAAATTTGGGGTTTTCTGTCAAAGGCCAGCGTCGCCATTTGGGGTTTCCCCTCAAGGTCAATATCGCGATTTGGGGTTTCCCTCAAAGGCCAATGTTGTGAAATGGGTTTCCCTTCCAGGCCAAGGTCATGATTTGGGGTTTCCCCTCAAAGCCAGTGTCGCGATTTGGGGTTTTTCCTCAAATGCCAATGTCGCAATTTGGGGTTTCCCCTCAAGGTCAGTATCTCGATTTGGGGTTTCCCTCAAAGCCAATGTCGTGATTTGGGTTTCCTGTCAAAGGCCAATGTCATCATTTGGGGTTTCCCTCCAAAGGCCAATGTCACGATTTGGGGTTTCCCTCCAAAGGCCAATGTCACGATTTGGGGTTTCCCCTCAAGGTCAGTATCGCGATTTGGGGTTTCACTCAAAGGTCAATATCGCTGTTTGGGGTTTCCATCAAAGGCCAGTGTCATGATTTGGGGTTTCCCTCAAAGCCAATGTCAGGATTTGGGTTTCCTGTCAAAGGCCAATGTCGTCATTTGGGGTTTCCCCTCAAGGCCAATATCACAATTTGGGGTTTCCTGTCAAAGGCCAATGTCGCAATCTGGGGTTCCCTCAAAGGCCAATGTTGTGAATTGGGGTTCCCCTCCAATCGCCAATGTTGTGATTTGGGGTTTCTACTCAAAGGCCAATGTTGGATTTGGGATTTCCTCCAAATGCAAGCAGTAGCAGAGGTCAGGCTGTGGGAGGAGGGACAGACGGACACGAGCTGGATGAAAACTCACCGGCTGTTGGGGGCTGCTCCGGCAGATCCGAGGCCGGCTTGGAGAGAGGAGCAGGACTGAGGAGGGAAACAAAAATAAAACCTCTGAAAGCTGGGCCAGAACAGGGCGGGTGAGGGGACTCGTCACCGGGTGGTGGCAACGGGGAAATGGGGACAGGAGGGACGAAATGGGGGCAAGGGGGACAAATGGGGGCAAGGGGGACAAAATGGGGACAAGGGGGACAAAATAAGGACAAGGGGGATGAAATGGGGACAAGAGGGATGAAATGGGGACAGGAGGGACGAAATGGGGACATGGGGGACGAGATGGGGACAAGGGAGAGGAGATGCGGACAAGAGGGACAAAATGGGGGCAAGGGGGACGAAATGGGGACAAGGGGGATGAAGGGGGGACAGGGGGGATACAGGAGGGACAAAATGGGGGCAAGGGGGACAAAATAGGGACAAGAGGGACAAATGGGGACAAGGGGGACGAGATGGGGACAAGAGGAACAAAATGGGGACAGGAGGGACAAAGTAGGGACAAGGAGGAAGAAATGGGGACAAGAGGGATGAGATGGGGACAGGAGGGATAAAGTAGGGACATGGGGGACGAGATGGGGACAGGAGGATCCAAAGCCCCTCTGGGGTTCCCCCCCTCCCCCAGGAACTTCCATCAGAGCTGGGATTTTGTCCCGAGCATTTGGGGCGCTCCCGTCCCTGGCCCGGGCTTTCCTTCTGCTCTCCCTTCCGGGGACAGCGGGGGACACTGGGGGACAGCGGAGGATGGTGGGGAACACTGGGGACATGGCGGGACATCGGGGGACACTGAGGAGCCCTGGTGGACATTGGGAACATCAGGGACACCGGGGGACACCAGGGACACTGGGGGACATTGGGAACATCAGGGTCATTGGGGGACATCAGGGACACCAGGGGACACCGGGGGACACTGAGGAGCCCTGGTGGACATCGGGGGACATCAAGGGACATCAGGGACACCGGGGGACATTTGGAACATCAGGGGACATCAGGGACACCGGGGACCCCCCAAACTCCCAATTTGGGGTCCCTTTGGGGCCGAGCCTGAAGCGAGGCCTCCGGGGAGCCCCGAGGGCGATTCCCAAATTTGGGGCTCGGGGAAGGATCCGGGCTCGGTCCTGGCGCTCGTTTCTGTGCTCAAGGCCCTCAGACATTAATTAGCTGCCGTTAATTAGCTGGGGGTGGCGGCAATAAACACCGGGGGAAGCACGAGGCCGTTTTCCTGGGAAAGCCTGGAGGATCCGGAAAATGAAATTTATTTTTTTTTTAATTTCCTGGTTCCCAAACCGGGAGGAGGGAGGAGTTTGAGGGGACGCGAGGACACGACCCCGCACGGTGGCGATTCGGTCCCAAAATGACCCAAAATCCCCCAAAATGACCCAAAATTAATGTGCTAGAGCCGCAAAAATGATTTAAAAAAAAAGATTTCTAAAAGCCACGCCGGGATTTCTCACGACAATTTTGGCACGGAGCCGCTCCCGGAGCGGGGAGGAGAGAAAGGGGAGGAGGCAAAAAAAATGAAAATTAAAAAAAAAAAGAGAGAACTGTCCAATTTTAAAATATTTTCGTTTTGGGAAACATTCGGTGGCTTTAATAACCCCGCTTCCGTTGTGAGTGTTGATGTTGTTAATCTGAAATAAAAATGTTCCCCTCGCGCGTCTCCGAGTCCATAAATCAGCGCGGGAGCTCCGCGACCTGGATGTTTTATTAGGATTATTATTATTATTACTATTAATTATTATTTTATTATTGGTATGGAGCGAGTTTTTAATGCGCCGCCCCCGCGATTTTCCACTCCCATCTCAGCCGGGGCTGCTCGGGTCCCTCGGGGGTTTGGAAAGGGGGAAAAAATTAAAATAAAAGGGGGAAAATTAAAATAAAAAAGGGAGGAAAATCAAAATAAAAGGGAAAAAATCAAAGTAAATGGAAAAAATAATTTTAAAAAATGAAAAAAAAGAAGATTTCTTCCTGAGTTCTTCCCACACGGGGAGCGTGGATGGAGAAAAGCATAAAAGGGAAAAAATCGAAATAAAAGGGGAAAAAAATCAAAATAAAAAGGTAGAAATAATAAAAGGGAGAAAAATTAAAAGGGAAAAAATTGAAATAAAAGGGGAAAATCGAAATAAAAGGAAAAATTAAAATAAAAGGGAAAAAATCGAAATAAAAGGGGAAAAAAATCAAAATAAAAAGGTAGAAATAATAAAAGGGAGAAAAATTAAAAGGGAAAAAATGGAAATAAAAGGGAAAAATCGAAATAAAAGGAAAAATGAAAATAAAAGGGAAAAATATCAAAATAAAAGGAAAAATGAAAATAAAAGGGAAAAATATCAAAATAAAAGGGGGAAAATCAAAATAAAAGGGGGAAAAATCAAAATAAAAGGGGGAAAATTAAAATAAAAAAAGGAGGAAAATCAAAATAAAAGGGAAAAAAATCAAAATAAATGGAAAAAATCATTTTAAAAAATGAAGAAAAAAGAAGATTTCTTCCCGAGTTCTTCCCACACGGGGAGCGTGGATGGAGAAAAGCAGAAAAAAAAGAGAGAAAATCGCGTTTATTTGGAGCGGGGGAAGGAGGAAAAAGCGAAAAAACCAAACAGGAGGAGCTGGGATAAAAATCGGCCGCGCGAGGGGAGCGCGCTGGGCTTTGGTTTTGTTTTTCTTTTTCTTTTGCTTTGTTTTTCTGCGTTTTTAATTTATTCCCTCGCAGCCGAGGCTTCCCCCGCCCCTCCCCGCCTTCTTTGTTTGGGTTTTTTTTGGGTTTTTTTGGGTTTTTTTCTCGATTCATTCCCCTCTGGGGGCGGGGCCGCTCCCGCTCCTCCCGCACCCCCGGGCGGGGCGAGCCCCGTCTCGGATTTTTAATATTTTTGGGCGAAAAAAGAAGAATTTTGGGGTTTTCCCGTCCCTCAAACAGCGAGGAGGAGGCGGGAGAGCAGCGAAGGCTCCGGGACCTCGCGGAACCCCGAACAGAAGCCGGGCGGGAGAAGAAATCCGATTTTTTGGGTTGTTTTTCATGACAGATCGGAGTTTTTTCCTCGCCCTGACCTTTGCTGGGAGCAGCAATAATTCACCCGGTTAATGATCAACGCGGGGAAGCGCTTTGGAGCTGGCTCCCAAAAAATAAAACAAAACAAAAAAAAAAACCACTCCAAAAATCAAAATAAAGCAAAAAAACACCCAAAAAATCAAAATAAAGCCAAAAAGCACCCCAAAAATCAAATTAAAGACAAAAAAAACAGATCAAAAAATCAAAATAAGGCCAAAAAACACCCCAAAAATCAAAATAAAACCAAAAAAAGGCCGCAAAACCACCCCCGGATGGGGGCACGTGCACACCCAAAAATCCCAGGAGCTTTTGGGGATCCCCAGGATTTTTTGGGGATCCCCAGGATTTCGGGGCACACAAAAATCCCGGGATTTTTTAGGGGCCTCAGGATTTTGGGACACCGAAAAATCAAAATAAAGACAAAAAAAACACCCCAAAAAATCAAAATAAAGCCAAAAAACACTCCAAAAATCAAAATAAAGCCAAAAAAGCACCCCAAAAATCAAAATAAAGCCAAAAAAACACCCCAAAAAATCAAAATAAAGCCAAAAATCCACCCCAAAAATCAAAATAAAACAAAAAAAAAGGCCGCAAAACCACCCCCGGATGGGGGCACGTGCACACCCAAAAATCCCAGGAGATTTTGGGGATCCCCAGGATTTTTTGGGGATCCCCAGGATTTCGGGGCACACAAAAATCCCGGGATTTTTTAGGGGCTTCAGGATTTTGGGACACCCAAAAATAACAAGATTTTTTTTGGGGGGGGGAGCCCCGGGATTTTTTGGGATCCCCCGGATTTTGGGGCACCCAAAAATCCCCTCCGGGCTCCACAAGGGATGAGGGGAAGATTTTTTGGGGGGAATTTGGGGGGTCAGAGTGGGGGCAGGGATGGGAATCCCCACCCCCCTCCCCTCCCCCATCTCCTCCCCTTTTTCCCCAAATCACCGCCGGAATTCTGAGCCCACGTGACCCAACACGTCAAAGTTTTGGGTTTTTTTGGGGTTTTTTTCCCCATTTTAGCGAGAATTGGGAATCCCGAGGATGCCCAGAGCTCCCCGGGAGCCGAGCCCCAGCTCCACCCCGCCTTTTTTCCTGCCATTTTTAATTTTTTTAATTATTTTCCCTTCTCATTTTTCATTTTTTCCCCTTTTCCTCTTTGACACGAACGGGGAGAGCGGCAGCGCCAAGCACGGCTGGCAAAACCAGGGGAAAAAAACGGGATTTGGGGTCAGGAAAAAAGAAAAATTTGGGTTTTTTTTGTCTGCCTCCCAAATCCTGGGGATGGCCCCGGAAAGGAGGGGGCGATTCTCGGTTTTTTCCCCGTTTTTTTCGGTTTTTTTTTTTTCTATTTTTCAACCCCTACCCTCCTCCAAAAGATTAAAAAAAAAAAAAAATAGGAGGGAAAAAAAAATAAAAAGGGAGGAAAATGAAGATTCAAAACTTTTCTCCTCAAAGCTTTTCCCACGGCCGTTTTTGTGAGGAAAAAGAGGAATTGAGTGAATTTAATTTTCTTTTTCTTTGCAGGAATCCGCGCCTGGATCCCGGAATGAGCGAGGAAGGAGCTGCGGGAGGAGCTGAGTTTCCTTTTTCCCTCAAAAAGAGACAAAAATCCGCAGGAAGGGAAAAGCGGCGCCAAAAAATTCGATTTTTTTTCCACTCCGGGATGCTTTCACCGTCAGGATTTCTCCACCTGAGCGCCGCAGCCAAAAAGAGCCTCAAAACCACCCGCGCGCGGCTTTTTTTGGGGTTAAAATCCGCTTTTTTTGGTTGTTCTGGGCATCCTCATCAGCGCTTCCGAGGGCCCGCGGCCATCCCGAGCTCCGGGTTAATTTTTAATCGGGGCAAATTTGGGAGCGGGGGCAGCGAAGGGGTTAAATCCTATTCCTGACAAAATCCGGGAGAAAAATCCGAATTTCGACCAAAATTTGAGCATCCCGGCACCCCCAGAAACTGCAAGAACGCATGAAGGGGGGGAATATCCCAAATAAATTCATTTTTCGGCGCTCAACCCCCTTAAAATAAAATTCCTCCTCAAGGAGCTGAGCTCCCTCCTCCACAGAGAAACCGGGAATAAAATTCGGATTATTTTAGGGAGAGTGGGAGAAACGCCAGCTTAGAAAAGTGGGGAAAGAAATCCAATAAATTCCCTAAAAATGTCCTGAAAGAGCGGCGGCGGCGCAAAACGCGCCCGGTGAAAGATCAGAAAATATCCATTAATATCAATTTACCTCAGGCAAAACTTTGCTTCTTCACGTGATTTATGATAAAATCAATTAAATTCCGGCCACTTAGGGCCTGCGGTTTCTCCTCGGGTTTCGCTCGCCAGCAGATCGAGCGCTCGGGTTAAAAATAAAAATAAAAATAAAGAAAGAAAATAAATTAAAAATTCAAGTTTGGCCGGAAGAGAACGGAGATAATTCCGAAAGTGGAGAAATGGGAGGCCGAGAGATTTCCAGAAAATAATAAAATAATCATCATCGTCGTCAAAATAAAGAAATTAAAAGGAAAATAAAAAAGACAAATCAGCTTTTGGCCTGGGGAAACATCCGAGCCCAAACCTCTCCCGGTTTCCCGACGGATGAGGAAATTTTGGAATTCTTTTCTCGCTGCCAGAGGAGAGCAGAGAGCGCAAATTCTTGACATTTACACCCAAACTTTGCCGCTTTAATTCGATATTCCGAGGGGTTTTTTGGTTTTTTTTTCCCCTCTTTTCCCCACCCTACAAAGGATTTTTCTGTCTCGCCTCTAAAATCGCGTTGCTGGGGGAGGAGGGATTGGGATTTTTTTTTATTTTTTTTTTTTTTTCCCCGAGGCAGAAATTTGCAGCAGAAATCCACAGAAAATCCCCGAGACAGAAATTTGCAGCAGAAATCCGCAGAAAATGAAATCTCCGCTGTTCCCACGCCCTCCCCGCCAGCTTTGGAGGCGTTTTCGCCGCCCCTCCCTCTCCCAAAAAAAGCTCCAGAGCCAACATTTCCCAAATCTGAGCTTTTTAAGCCCAAAAAAATCCGAATTTTTTTCAGGAGCCTCAACCTCCGCACTGGAGAAGGAGAAGCAGCGCGAGCCTCCAGATGTTTGTGGGGCGCATCTGGAGGAGGGAAAGCGCGCTCGAGTTTGGGAAAACTCCTTTTTTTTCCTATTTTTTCTCCTTTTCCCCCCGCTTTTTGTTGTAATTAGGGTTTGCTCCGAGTAAACAAAAAACTTGGTGGGGCCATAAATCACCGGCCGAGCTTTTCCAAAGCTTTTTATGGGTTTTTTTGGGGGGTTTTTGCTCTTTTTTTCGCCTTGTCAAACCACACAGAAGGTGAGAAATCTTCAACAAACGCGTCCCAGGGGTAAAAAAAAAATAATAAAAATAAGAATAAAAGGACTTTTTAGGAGGGGCAAAACACAGAACGGATCGGAGGCGCAATAAAAAAAATTAAAAATTCATGCAAAAAAAACCCCTAATTGCGGCAAGGGTGAGGATGAGGGGGTGAGCGCTCGTTCTGCTCTGGAAAAAACCAAAATAAACGGGGAAAAAACTCCAAAAAAACCCCAAAAAAACCCTCCCCCAGTCCCGAGCGGCCGGGATCTGCCCGGAAAGCTGTTTCTCTTTATGAAGACTTAAAATGTTGCAAGAGGGAGGAACAGTGAGTGACAAGGGGTGCTGGGGAGAAGGGAACCAAATGGATTCTGCTTTTTTCGAGCCAGTAGGAATTGGCCAGCCTTCAGTGGCAGGGCTGGAAATTGATTCCATATGTCTCGGGAAAAGGGGAAAAAAAAACAAAAAAAAAACCCCGAGGAGAGCGAAAGGACTTTTTAGGAGGGGCAAAACCGAGTTTGGAAAGGAGCTGATAATTCCGGAGAATTTTTTGCTCCCCTTCAGCCTCGCATCGCTCTTAATTTGGGGCTCCTGCTGGAGCCTTGTCAAAGCGCTCGGAGCAATTAATTACAGCTCGCGGCCCGGGCCGCGCTAATTTATTTATTTATTTTTTTGAACTTCTTACCTGCCAGACTCCAGGACTCCGAGGAGAAGGAGGAAAAGCCGGCTCGGGGTGGAGAGGATTCCTCACTGGAGCAGGAAAATTAAGAAAAATCTCATTTATTCCACCCCCGTCGGATCTCGGTCGGGTTGGGATTCTTTTTTTTTTTTATTTTTTTTCTTTTTCCCTAAAAGACGCTTTGGAATTTTTTTTTTATTTTAATTATTGGGTTGTTTTTTGTTTTTGTTTTTGTTTTTTTTTTTGACTCCTTCGGTTCGAACAGAACGGATCGGAGGCGCAATAAAAAAAATTAAAAATTCATGCAAAAAAAACCCCTAATTGCGGCAAGGGTGAGGATGAGGGGGTGAGCGCTCGTTCTGCTCTGGAAAAAACCAAAATAAACGGGGAAAAAACTCCAAAAAAAAACCCAAAAAAACCCTCCCCCAGTCCCGAGCGGCCGGGATCTGCCCGGAAAGCTGTTTCTCTTTATGAAGACTTAAAATGTTGCAAGAGGGAGGAACAGTGAGTGACAAGGGGTGCTGGGGAGAAGGGAACCAAATGGATTCTGCTTTTTTCGAGCCAGTAGGAATTGGCCAGCCTTCAGTGGCAGGGCTGGAAATTGATTCCATATGTCTCGGGAAAAGGGGAAAAAAAAACAAAAAAAAAACCCCGAGGAGAGCGAGAGGCAGCGAGCAGGGGAGGGAGGGAGTTAAAGTTCTTGAAACCCGTAATTAAAGGGTTTAATGACTTTAATTAAAGTCCTTTCGAGGGGTTGGGTTTTTTTCTCAGCCCTCCAGAGAATCCCAGGGTTAAATCCCCCCTTTTCCAGGGGTTTTTGGGATTTTTTGGGTACGAGAGAGCTCCGGGGAACCCCAAATCCAGGCGATTTTTTAGCCCAGCGCCGGGAATTGGGAGCTGGGCGCGGATCCCCCTCCCCAAAACCCGCCGGGAATCGGGGGGGAATCTTCCCCATCCTCAAAAAAAACCCCAAAAACACACCCCAAAGGTGGGGAGAGGGGCTGGGGGGGTCGGTGCCTGCGCCCCCATCCCGGGTGGGTTCCCATCGCCGGCAGAATCCCCCCGAGGGTCCCGAGCTCCGCGCGAGCAGCCAAGAAAAAAAATCCCAGGCGGATTTGGCATCCGAAAGGGGGGCTTCTCCTTGACCCCTCCCCTCATATCTGCGCTAAAAAACAAAGAAGGAAAAGGGGAAAAAAATAAAAAAAAAATAAAAAAAGGAGTGAAATCGCCACCCCGGCTCTGATTTATAGCCCCGCTTTTCATCTCGGGACGGCTGCGAGCAGGGAAGTGTCGGAACGCCCTTGTTGCCTTTTATTCCTTTCGTGTCCCCCTCCTTTCCCTCCTCCCCGCACGGCCAAAAAAAAAAGAGAAAACTTCAAAGCAAACGCTCCCCGCTGCCAAACTTTTCCCTGCGAAGCCACCGAGCTCTTTTCCCTTTTGTCTCCACTCGTGTTGGCCTCGGGTTTTCTAAATAAAAAAAAAAATTAAGCGGCTCCGGGCCTGGATCAGCGAGGCCGGGGCGATGCCGGGGGGCTCCAAACGCGTCAAAACCCCAAAACCACATAAAACACATCACAAAAAAAGCGGGGGAACCTCTCCTGCCCCTCGCCTAAACCTCGAATTTCCGCGTTATTTTTTTTTTTTATTTTAATTTTTTTTTTTTCCTCCTCTCAGCGTGGCTTTGATGTGAAATAAGCCTCCCCTGCCGGCCGCAATAAATTCCGAATTAAGGCGCTGCTGACTCGTGTTTCGGGCGTTAATCGCTTCCTCTCCGGGAAGGATCGGCCCGCGAGGGGAAAAGGGGACGCGGATTTCTTTCGGGGTGATGAACGCGGCGCTGATGGACCGGGACCTTCGGCGGAGATGACAGGCGAGGAGAAAGGGCTGATTGCCCAGAAATCAATGAAATTCCGCTCGCTCGAGCCACTCGAAATAGCCAATTATCCCCCCCCCGCCGCCTCCCCAGGGTTTTATCGGCCGCTGCTGGGGGGAAAGGCGTTTTTAGTGAGTTAATAAAGAAAAAAATGGTGAGGGAGGGGGTTTGGGGGGTCTGGGGAGGAGGGGAGATGCTGCTCCGGACCCCCCTGACCCAAAGAAATCCCGTTCTGGCGGCACCAGGGAGGAAAATTTGGGATTTTGGAGCCGGTGGGAAGGAGAGGCAGAGCCCTGAGGGTCTGAGGAGCAGCCAGGCGCTGCCAAAAAAACAAAAAAAATCTTTTGGGGAGGTTTTGTGCCAGCCCAGCCCCTCCCTCCCGGGCAGGACCCGTCCCGAAGGGGCAGCACCGGGGTGGGGGAGGCGCTCTGCCTTCCACAGCCCCAGCGCCCACCCTGGGTCTGGGGTCTCTTCTCTGTTCTGGGGTCCCCTCCCGGTTCTGTGTCCCATTCTGGGTCTGGGGTCCCCTGTGGACTTTGGGTCTGGGATCCTTTCCCGGTTCGTGATCCCATTGTGGGTCTGGGGTCCCCCCTGATTCTGTGTCCTATTCTGGGTCTGGGGTCCCCTCCCTGTTGGGAGTCTGGGGTCCCGTCCCGGCTCTGGGTCTCATTTTGGGTCTGGGGTCTCTCCCAGTTCGGGGTCCCATTTTGGGTCTGGGGTCCCTCCCGGCTCTGGGGTCCCTCCCGGTTCTGTGTCTCACTTTGGGTCTGGGGTCTCTACTGGCTCTGGATCCCATTTTGGGTCTGGGGTCCCTCCCGGCTCTGGCTCCCGCCGTGCCCGGGGGTCTCTCCAAGGCTCCAGACTTCCCCTGGAGTTCCGGGGTCCTGACCCGGTTCTGGGGTGTCCCCCTGGCTCTGGGGGTCCCGCTGGGGCTCTGAGCCCCCAGCTCAGGGGCTGAGGGAGGGGTTGGGTCATGCCGGGGTCCCGAGCCCCCCGGGCGGGGTCCCCAACGGGGGGGCTCGGCCACAGCGACCCCGCAGCCCCCCCGGTGACCCCCGAAGGGCACAAAGGGGCTGAACCGAGCCCCCCACCCCTTTAAAGCTCGGGGGGCTCTGGGCTGACTCCCCCCCTCCAAGAGCTCATCTCTCACAGTCCCAAACCGAGAGGAAAAAACCAAATTAAAATTATTACTATTTTTAAACACAACCAAATAAAATAAAATACAGACGGCGGGTGGGATGGGGAGGGGGTCTGCATCCCCCGAAAGCCGAAACCGAAATGAATGCGAGGCTGTGACAGAGAGCGATGCCAAATCCCGGGCTCAGTCACCGCCCCTGGATCCCCCTGGATATTTAATAAAGTCGCTGCCCTGCAGAAAGCTTTTCTCCGGCACACAGAATTAAAGGGTTAAATCTGCCCGGCCGGGCGGAGCGAGCGCAGGCGCGGGGGGGGAGAAAAGCGCCGAATTCTCACCCGAGAATCGCTGCCAACATTTCATCTCGGCCCCCGCTGTCACTTTTATTGACTCCTCGCATGTCGGAGCTTGTAAAATATTAAAAAAAAAAAAAAAAAAAACCACCCGAAAACATAAAAACGAGCGCTCCCGTTTCCTGCTCTCCCTTTCAACGGGAGAACCGGGGCCGGGAGGGGAGGAGAGGGCAGCGCTGCCTGCTCAGCCCCGCGCAGGATGCGCGGGGGATGCGCTGCCGCTTTTCGGGACGCGAATCTGGCCCGCAAAGCCCCGCAAAGCCCCGCAAAGCCCCGGCGGAGCTTTCCCCGCAATTTTCGGCAGCAGGGAGCGGCTGCCGGCCGCCTTCTGCCTCTTTCCGACCGATTTTGGGCGCTTTTCCCCTTGGAACTCGGGTTTTCCCGAGGAGAAAATTTCCCAGGGAAATGCGACCCTCGGGGGGCTTTGTCCGACTTTGATCCTGAGCATCCTCGACCTCTCCAGCCCAGCCTGAGCGGGAGTCCAAAAAACCAGCAGGAAAAACCCTGGAAAAGCTCCGGGAATGCCCCGCAAGGCGCTGGTTGCCCTCGCTGTCCTTGCCAGGGGTTTTGGGGACAAACCGCCCCTCTTGGGGTCACTCGGCAGCGCCCCATTGTTCTGGGCTCCACTCAGAGCCCCCTCGCAGCCAGGCTTTGGTGCTTAGAAAAAAAAAATTAATAATTTTCAAATAAAATTATTTCATTTCGTTCCCATCTCTCCATCGGGAAATTCAATATTCTGGGGGAAAATCGCCCGAGCAACCTGCGCGGGAGAGCTGGGGAGGGGGGAAGAGGGGAGAAAATGAGTTCTGGGTGATAAAAGGACTGTAATTTTGATATTAAGGTCGCGCTCTTTGCCGAGGTTTACACGCCAACGAGGCGTTCCCGCTTTCCCCAAATTTATACAAATCTCTCTTTAATTGGTAATCACAGATGCCGTAATTTAAGACCCCCAGCTACAGAGCTTTCATATTAGCGGCTGATCTATTACTGTAAATCGCCTGAAATAATCAACTCCAGGGAGCGGGGCAAGGGGAGAGCTCCTCGCTCCAAAACATCAGCGCTCGCACATCATTTTCGCCCCAGAAATGATTTATCTCGGCCAGCGCCATAAACAACACGAGTCTCTCTCCCAAACACGCGCACAATGGCAGCCGCGCTGCCGCTGACATGTTTATTGTCATAAATCAAGAAAGGGGGGAAGAAGGGAGGAAAAAAAAAAATTAAAAAAAAAAATGGAGAGGAGAGGTTGCGAGGAGGAGGAGAGGGAGAGAAAAATCTCCCCTAAAAAATATCAATGAAATGCCTCGGTGGGTAGAAACACGGAGAAGAGGAATGGCAGGAAATGAAGAGGGCGATTTGTCACATTTTACGACAATAACATTAATAACAAACAATAAATTTACATGGACACGCGGACGCGCTAGGAATCGGGAAGCCCCTGCTACTTACAATAATCCAGCCCTCGGCGTGCCTCGGCTCTTCCTGAGAATTGTTTTATTGCCGGCTCCTCTCCCTCTCTCCTCCCCTCTTCCTCTCGCTCCCTCTCGCTCTTTTCTCTCCCCTTTTATTTATTTTTTTTTATGGGAAGGAGAATATATGATATATATATATATGTAGACATATACTTGTGTCCCTGAGCATGCTTTACTGGGCTGGTCTTTTTTCAGCACACATGAAAATAAACATAGGTGATGCAAAAGCTAAAGCAGATAAAGTTACAGCCTGCAATATATATAAAAGAAATGGGAACAGATAACTAAAGAAATAGTTTAAGACCTTTTTGTGTGACATATGAAAGCTGAGAAATTTCTGTAATGAAAGAAAAAGTTTTAAATATTCACACAAATTTCATGTCCACATGTAAAGGCCTAGGTCTGATTGTCTTCCCATTTTTCCTTGCTTTAAACAGTGATTTGATGTTTGGACACTAAGAAAATTATATTGGTCTGAACTTCATCTAATT